CACAGGTGGAAACCCTCTTTAATGTTATAAATGCTCAAACTAAATATTTCTTAATACTAGTTTGTTTGAGGACAATATTTCAATATTTCATATAATTGAATTTAATTCGACTTTTCAAATAGGTTGCAATCCTGTTTAAGATATTTTTAAACCAAAACCTCGATAAACCTTTGTCGTCTGACACTTGTATTGTGATACATACTTAAATTATCTAATACTTTTAATTCAAATTGAATTGAATTATAAAATTAATACATGCTGTTTGGAAATAAAGGTTCTTCATTTCGATTTATATTTATATTGAATTAATTTATTTAACCTGTTGCTTATATTGAATCTAACTTTAAAGTTGAATCTAACTCTAACCTCTTTCGTCTGACGTTCATATCAGGATATACCTACCAATTGTCTGCCCTTTTTAAGTCGAACTTGCTTTTTGAAACATATCATTAAGAAATAAGGCATGTTTAAAACCATTTCGATCGATACTCATAGCCCGAACACAGTGAAAACGACAAGCTACGGACCACAGCTGTCAAATTATTGTAACACGTATTCTCATGATTCAATAATACAAGGTTCGATAAACTGCCAGTTGTCTCTCTCGCACCGCTCCCTTAGCAGTGGCACTGTGTTGCTTCTTTGCAAATTTACATGGAAACAGTGTAGCTTTGGTTCGAAATAAAAGTATAAGCTTTTGTGCAATATGTTTATTTGTATATGCATATGAAGCATATTTAACTGATGAAAACATAAGCATTGGATGTTTACATCAATCGCATAGTAGTCTTATTTTAATTTTGAGTCATTTTGCAGTTTTTATACGGCTAAATAGCATATAAATTACGTAATTCACGTAGATATATCAATATTACGTTCAACATTTCGTTTAAAATGCCAGATTTCCTGCAAATACATTAGAATTTACGAAAGGAATTTCACTACTAATTGCCTACTTTGCCTACTTTTCTACTACCATTTTCGCAACAAGGGATTGCATTCTTGCCCTTTCTCTGTCCTTCGTAAATGCAACCTTTTGTAAGGGAGTGTCAAACCGCAGCTGTCAATAATTATCTAACCTTGTATTATTGAATCATGACGTATTCTTATGTAGATAAATATTTTGTCGACGACCGGGCTACGCGACGATTGTGGTTGTGGCCAGATCTATTTCTATTTTTCTATCGCGCGTTCAATAAAATCATGTCGCCATCGACAAAGCGTTTAGATAATGAAGATTACAAATTGGAAGCTGTGGCCCGTAGCTTGTCGTTTTCAATGTGTTCAGAACTTTATAGTGTAATAATTGATTTAACTTAAAAATAATTTCAACTTAATTTTTTTATCAGGTGGCAACTCTTTTTGAAAAAATAAGAAGTTATTGTACATCAACAGAGCAATCCCTTTAATTTGATACGTCATTTTGTAAAATCGAACGAACGGTACCGATCTGATATGACGAAAAAATTTTCGTTTATTATTATATGTACATATGTATGTACATAGATTACTTAAAGAAAAAACAGATCCACATTTACTGCAATCAACATATGTTTGTACGTATGTATGTATTTACATACATATCCTGTGATTTGGTTATATTTATATTGCGCCATCTGTTACTCAAAAGCCGAAATGCCTACACAAACATACGTTTTGTCCTCTTCTCTCACTTTCAGAGCAAGCACGTGTTTGCAAACTGATGACTGCAGATGACGAAGAGATTTTGTATAGAAAAGCATTTATGCTCATATATTTGAATAAAATAAACATACTTAGAAGATCCAACCAATACTTCCCATATACCAAACGAAAGGAAAAAACTTGAATTTTTGATTAAAGAAAATTTGCAAATTTTTTCAGAAAATGTTTGCCTTAAAATGCTCAATATTGATTGAATTTATATAAAATGTTTACATATTAATATTTCTATTGCTTCAAAGAACCTATGTCCCGTAAATTAACGTTATATCTGTAAATCATAAGTTGCTAGAGCACTTTAATTTCTACCGTTGTTTCTACGACAGAAACCGAATTGGTTACTTACAAAAATGTATCTGTCGATAGGTTTGGAATTTTATCTTTCAAACGCCGCCTTTTTCTTTTAAATCGCTTCATTAGTTCAGTCCTTGTGCAATAAGCGTTTTCATGAAGCTCTAAAATTTACAACTACAACATTTGAGCATAGCCTCCATATCGAAACGGAAGAAAAATACCTGGCACTTTGTTTGGAAATAACCCATCCACATTATTGAAAAACAGAGATTTTTAAAATGCTAGGCTAGAAAACCATTCTTATAAGTAATAACTAAAGAACCCCCCCGATTAGTTTTCATTTGATGTGAAAGGTAGCAGCAGACACATAGCTGCAAAAATATGAGTATTTTTCTTAATAAATACTAAGGCCGTTTGCTTCATGTCTGGTTAAATGCTCAATCAGGACTTAATCGCAAGCTTCCTCAAAAAGTTTTTTTTTTTTTTCAAAGTCGCTTATTTGTCAAATAAATTCTGATAAATTTACGGGAAGTTGACGTACCGATTAGCATCAAACCAGGAGTGTGCTTTTCTACTTTTCGCGGATCTTATCTTGCGTCAAAAGTTAAGAGTTGGCCAACGTTCGTTGTTTCCGTTGACGCAAGGGTTGCCATTCTGGCGCTCTCTGTGCAAATACACACAATCCACTCAACTACCAGTTTCTTCCTTAAGGTGTTCTTACACGATATGTATTTGCATCTGTAAATGTGAGTTTTTCAATACGCATGCAATAGCATATGTCCGTCAGATTCACAGTGTTTATTTAACTATTTAAAAATACGTTCTTCGAAAACTAAATAAATTAAACTCAGATGATTCTATATGAAAATAGAAACATTTCTATTTCGTATGTACATGCATTTGCTTTGTACAGAAGCAAATCTAATTTGCCTTTACGCGATATGTTGACATTTCCATATGTAAAAAGTGGCATGCACACATGCAAGTACATCTCGTGTAAGAACACCTTTAAGCGGAACGCTGGCGAAGAGACGAAGTGGAGAATGAATGCTCTTTAATTATGCTATTAATATAATAGATGAACGATTTGTACCATTTTAAGTAGGTGCAAATTTGGTATCTGCTTTTGAAACAACACAACGTGTGCTATTTAGATTGCTACGTAGCAACTATACACCTAAAATGCTAATGTTAAGGCAGGGCAATTCTGGCTACGATAGTAAAAAGTCTTGCGTAAGACAAATGAAAGACAGATGGCAAGATAGTTCGAAAGTCTTTTGTTATCCAAGCACAAAAGTCTTAGAAAAAAGCTCACTCATTCACCACCCGTTATGAAAAAATATTTTAAGAGAAAGCACTTGTTACCACTCCAACAGTCGCAACCCTGCAGGGAGTGACGTTAGCTTATACCTAACTTTAGTCTGTTTACGCGAACACTAGTGCTAACTATTAACTGTGTATTTTGTTCGAAAAAAGCTAACTACTTTTGTGGGGCGATGGCCGCAAAAAAGTCAGACCTGGATACCTCTGCATTACATGTCAACTAACTTGTAACTAACTACTTTTGGACATAAAATATCAATAAGAAAAACAAAATATTTTTTTGCTTTTTTACTTTTTTATTTACTTATTTATTTACTTTATTTTATTACATTTCATATTTGTTTACATATTCTGCTCTGGGTGGCCCCATATTCGAACACCGTCAGACATAACTTCAAAATGATAGTATAAAATTTCGATCTTCCTTTTATTTGTCCTGAATATGAAAAAGAATCTGCGAAGTTCAGAAAAAAAGTGTATTGAAAGTAATTTTTGTATGAGGATATTTAATAGAAACTTGTAAAGAAAACCAACTCCCGATTGCGTCTGCATGACTCCTGCATGACTTTACAATTCACTTTAAGTTGGTTTTGTCATAGCTAATTAAAAGTGAGGTATTAATCGAAATCTCGCCAAAAAGCTAACTATAAGTAGGTTAGTTTTAACAATTGATAATTTTTCACTGCAGGGAGTGGCCGAGTGAGCAAAGCACAGGCGTGGAATTCAAGAGATCCGAGTTCCAGTCCTCGGGCAGCGCAACTTTTTTCTTTTTGTTAAATTTACTTTTTTTACATTATATTTAAATATAAATTTAGTTTTATATTTTATTGTTTTAAAAGGAAAAATATATTTTTCTATTTCATTTAATTTTTAGGAACTTGTTTTTTCTTCTTTCAATTAATTTTTTTCTGCCGTTAGCTTAATTTTCTTCAAATTTTTTAATTTTATTGTTAAAAAAAATATGTCTTTATTTAATTTTTAGAATTTTTTTATTTTTTCTTTTAATTCACTTTATTATTCTTTTGTTAATTTAATTTTCATACAGTTTTTTTTAATTTTACTGTTTTAAAAGGAAAATATATTTGTTTTATTTCATTTAAATTTTATGGACTTTTTTATTTTATATTTTTAGTTTAATTTGCTCTTAGTTTTTAGTTTTTTTTTGTTTAAAAAAGAAAAAAGAATTTATTCAATTAATTTTTAGAATCTTTTTATTTATTTCCTTTTTTAATTATGATATTTGTTTTATTTCACTTAACTTTAAGGATGTTTTTTTATTTTTATTTATTTTTGTCTTTTATTTTAATTTAAATTTCTTTTAATTTCATGGCTTTGTTTTAAAAACAAAAATACTTTTTTGATCTTATTTAATTACGCATAACGCGTAACACCTCCTCGTTAGCACATCTTTCAATTAGTCTTTCGAAAGACAGTAAGAGCTTTCAAAATTGTTGCCAGAATTATCTTGGCGCTTAAATGGTCAAGGCCGACCGTGAAATGTAAATAAATTACAAAAATACTATTTTAACCAGCTCGATGTGATGAAAAAAACAAACATTAAAAAGCGCAGTCTGTAAAACATCATTCGCTTGATGCAATTGATGTGCCACTTTTACTTTTTCTCCTTTTGCTTTAATGGAAATTTATTGTCTCAATTTTTTCACTTTCATTTTTTATGCCAGCAACACCAATAAACCGCTTGTACACCACATGACTCTCTTCGAATGTTCGACAAAATCATATCCAGGCTCGGATCCACTCTCTTGGGAGGTGTGGGTGAAGAGTAGCGGCGCGGTGTGCAACAGTAATTTATTGACCCCACATGACTGGGACTCTTGCATCACGCCAGTGGCAGTCTGGACTATTGGCTCAACAGGTACGAATACAAACATAAGTATATACTTAAGGTACCCAGTAAGAACCCTATCTGTTAACTAATGCGTTATATACGCCTAGTGCTACAAAAAGTTTGTGTGAGAAATTCAAAAACTTTCCATCATTTTACATCCTGGAGAAATCTAACGCATAATCGTTTCACGTGTGAGCAGTTTTCTCTTTCTTTTATATGGAATTCGCTATTATATTAACCTATATATAGTGGTCTCTTTTCAATCAAATATTATTATGCGATTAATAACGTGTTATGTAACGCAAAGAACGGCATATGGATATCGCTAATATGCAAATGTGTTGGTTTTTATTGACAATTTTGTAATTGTATTTGGAGAATACGTTAGGTCGTTCCTGCTGGGTACACATATAGTATAGTATGCGAATTAATTGCTTCTTGGAAGTACAGAATTTTTAAATTTACGTACACCTCCCTGTATATGTACATATGAGTATAAGTTTGTACGTGTACGTAATACTTTTTCAATTTAAATATTTGCACATTTCGCTTCTTTCACAGGGCAATTTTTACCGCATCATGTCGGAATACCTGTGGGCGGAAAACAAGGCGCTAAGTACTACATGCTGGAAATACATTACGACAATCCACAGGCTCAACAAAGTGAGTAAATTCTTTCCGGAAAATGCTGTGACGAGCAAATACAATTTTTCACTTTCACCCTAAACTCGCAGTGGTAGATCATTCCGGCTTTCGCATACATTACACCAATCGGCTGCGACAAAACGATGCTGGTATCATGATTTCTGGCGTTTCAGTCTCCGACACTCAACTGATTCCACCCGGCCAAAAGCTTTACCGCAACATTGGAATATGTGGGCCATCCTGTTCAAGCGTGGTAAAGTTTCTTGCTGCCATAATGGCTGATAACAACAACAAACTCCTTTATAAAGACCACAAATTACTTTATACTAGCTTATTATATTTTATCTACTCGGCAGATGTTTCCTGCAGACGGCATCAAAATCATATCCGGCACACTCCACTCTCACCACGCCGGCCGCAAAATGGCACTACGCCATGTGCGCGGCGGCAAGGAGTTGGAACGTATAATCGAGGACGACAATTACGATTATAACTACCAACAGGTGCGACAACTGGAACACGAAGTCGTCGTACTCCCGGGCGATTACATTATTACAGACTGCGCTTATGAGGTGAGCATTTCAACCCACTACCCACGAACAGTCGATGGTACATACATAGATGGAAGCTTCTTTGACAGACAAATTGAATAATTTATTGTCGCTTTACTTCACTAAATTTACCTACAGACGATGAACCGCAAACATCCAACCTTCGGTGGTTACTCAACCAAACAGGAGATGTGTCTGTCCTTTATCACTTACTATCCACGCATTGACTTGGCCGGCTGCTACAGCATGACACCAGTGCGAGAGTTTTTCGAGACGTTTGGTGTTTATCAATTTTATTCGCTTAACATGACAGACGTTGAGAATTTATTCCTTTACAATGGGTGCGTATGCATATCAAAAAAAAAAAAAATTGTGTACTTGAAAGCGCGCGACATGATTATTTACTTGTTTATTACTTTCCATTGCAGTAATGTGTTGGACTATATACCGAATACTATTTATGCAAAAACGAAGAAGAATCCTGTTAATATGACTGATGAGGAGCGGCTGTATGAAGAATCATTGCTAAGTGAGTTTAAAAACATTTCAAAATATTCACTCAATCATTGCACTGTTTAGTTACACTGATTACCACTGTTTTACCACTGATTCGAATTCTGAGGATAAAAATACGTGACTTTTGTTTGAAACTTTTTTCTCGGAAGTGCCGTTTTCAACCCCTATATGGCCTTCAAACGTCAACTTGTCCTGGACTGCTAAAACGGACAAAAATGTATTTATTAGAAAACGAAAAAGTTAAATCTCCAAGTCGGGAATGCTATATCTTTTGGTCATATTACCAGGGTTGACAATGTTTAAAACATTTGTTTAAAACAATTGTTTTAAAAAATGCGGAAAACCCACCTATACTTTAAAACACGTTTTAAAACATTTTGCTCTAAACTCGTTTAAAACGTATATAAAAAACATCAATCATATATATAATAGGATTTGTACTTTTCAAAAGTTTTATTTGCAACATAATGCCCCTTGTCGTCCGAATTTTTTCATCCGCCCGTTGTGAATACACGGAAATGATGAGTGAACCGGTTCGGAGAAAAAGAAACTCATACTAAGGCTGAATACATTTGAGTTAAATTGTAGACACTTTCAATGGCAACTCTGAACTCGGGGATTTCCCAAACTACAAAAATCCCCAATAACAAAACGAAAACATAGAAAATTAATGAATAAGGTATATTTCGCGATGGTACTTTGAGAACTAGCACAATCTCAATAATACACAAGACTACTTTTTTATTTATATAACGTTCGTTTTAACGGTTAACATTTTTATTAATTTCAAATAGATATTTTATGAGTTCTTCGATGGATTTGATTTCTACCTACCCCTAATTTCGAATGTATTAAATTATTAAAAGTGTTTAAAACAATACTTATCTAAATATGTTTAAGTCATGTAAATTAAAACATTTACGAAACTTTTATTAACATGTTTTTTTTTTCTTTTTTAATAAAACTCGATGTATTTGTCTTTTTGAAAAAAAGAACATGTTTTTTCCAGCCCTGCGTATTACCGACGTACGATTTCGCTCGGATGTGGGGTGAACTGACTGGAATTTAATTTTTTTTAATAGGACCTAGATTTTTGTGCCACAGATTCGGGTTCTGCGGAAAAAAATCCATAACTTTTGCCAGAAACTTTTTTATTGAACGGACTTCCTGTTAAAATAATCCATTTCTGGTCTGCCCGGAATGTGTCAGTCTGAGGGGAACGAAAAAATATGAATTACTGAATCGGGGATGCTGTATCTTTTGGTCCTATTACAAACTTTAGGTTTCGACCTGAAGTGGAACTGGAAATTCTTTTATTGAGCTGAACTGAAATGTCTCAACAACACCACTATCTGACTGCCAAAATGTACAAACCTGTACAAATGTACAAATGGTGTGAAGGGATAGCTTAATAGCTACAATCCCAATTAACTAGCTTGCTTAAAGTATGCCCCAATCACAAGTGTTGACGTAGAGAGAATGTTCTCCTTATACAAAACATTTTTGCGGCCAAATAGGAAAGCTAAATTTTAAAAATTTAAAATCTAAAATTTAAAAATTTTAAATTTTAAAATTTTAAAGAGCTACATATCAAGGTACCCTGGAAACAATTTCAACCCTCAATTTGCTTCCCTTCGCCGATTCCTGTTGCTACTATTTCGGGGGACCTTACTGAATATTTTCCATAAAAAGAGAGCAAAATCCGTCGGGCGCTTTTTATACCCGAGCGCACTTGTGCACAAGGGTATATTAATTTTGTTCACATAACGGTTATTTGTAACAGCCAAAACGAATCGAGATAGATATAGACAAATGTATACATAAATGCTCAGAATGAATAGAGAAGTCGATTAAGTCATGTCTGTCTGTCCGTCTGTCCGTCCGTCCGTGTACACGATAACTCGAGCAGAAATTGAGATATCTCAACGAAATTTGGTATGTAGGTTTCCATTTATCCAAGGTAGGTTAGTATTGAAAATGGGCGAAATTGGATACACCACGCCCACTTCCAATAAAACGGTAATTTTCAGAAATACGAAAACCGCGATATTTTAGTAACTACTGGAGATTATTCAATCAAAATTGACATTAACAATAAGTTTTAGACGAAAAATAAGAATATTATAAATTTTTGGAAAATGGGCGTAGCCACACCCACTTATGGTTACATGTGTATATCTTAGGAACCGCTGCACCAATTTCTTCCAAACTTGGCACAGTTGTTGGCCTTCGTACAACATGCCAAATGGCAGAAAATTTTTAAAATCCCACATAACGGTAAATTTGGAGAAATACGAAATCTTCGATAAATCAGTAAATATTAAAGCTAATTTATTCAAAATTGATGCTTGCAACAATTCTTAAACAAGAAATACGTATGTGATAAAATTTCGGAAAATGGGCTTGGCACCGCCTACTTATAATCACATATATGTATCGCGGTAACCGTTCTACCAATTTCTACCAAACTCGGTATGGTTATTGTGCTTCCCATATGAAAGCAAAACGTTGAAAATTATTGAAATCGGACTAAAATTGAGGCCGCTTTTCATATAACGGTAAATTTCAGAACTGCTTGAAACTGTAATTTACTCAAAATTGATACGCCCCTGCTTACCATGTAGCGGTAGCTTTCGGAAAGGTGAAAGTCATATATTAAATATTTGCGCCGGGTATTTAATGTTCGGGTCCGTCCGAACTTAGACTTTCTTACTTGTTTTCTATGGTAACTTTTACTAATTCAAATATTACACAGGCCAACAAAAATTTAAAAAAAATTGTTTCCTAAAATGTTAAAGCTGTTTTCGATAGCCTCTTTTGTGCTGATTACGAATCTGTAAGTATAAAGTTTCCAGTTAAATCGTGGTCAAAGTATCAAAAAATCACGTTTTTGCAATATTTGAGAAGCCCTAGCAAAAAACAAAAGGTGATAGAACCTTCCACTTGGGCTTAAACTAAAGCTAGAACTCTCGACTACTATCCTTGAAAATACCATTCGTGCACCTTGACTTGATGGTAACTTATAGTCATTTGTTGAATAGCAAAAACTGATTTTATCGAAAACAGCGTTAACATTTTAGGAAACAAAATTTTTTCAAATGTTTGTTGGCCTGTGTAATATTTGAATTAGTAAAAGTTACCATAGAAAAAAAGCGCCCGACGGATTTTGTTCTCTTTTTTTGAAAATGTTCAGTGAGGTCCCCCGACATAGTAGCAACAGGAATCGGCGAAGGGAAGCAACTTGCGGGTTGAAATTGATTCCAGGGTACCGTGAATCTCGTTTATCTCGTTTGCCAATAAAGCCCTGAATAAACCAAATTAAAAAAAATAAGGAAAACAAATATATATTTTTAATTTATTGTAAATGAATTTTTTACTTTAAGTGCTTAATTGTTTTTAATACAGATGTTAAGGTTTTAGATATGTATTTGTTTAATTAATTTTGAGTTTTTCGTGGCACTAAAAACTACAGTATATCCTTGTGTTAATTATAAACTTGAAATAAAACATGAAAAGTAAATAAAAATAATAATTAAAAAAGCAAAACAAATGCGAAGAGATAGCCTGATAGCCGGTTTCTCGAAAGAAGTTTAAGTGAAAATTTATTTTTTTCTGTCAGTTTCCATATTAAAAACAAATAAAAAAACCGTTTTTGACTTACATTGCTTTTGTGAAACCGGCAGAAAGTAATTCCAATAGATAATAAAATAATCGAGTTTTTTTTTGTGAGAATGAAAGCCGAAAAGGCTTGAATAAAATTATACTTTGTCGCGTTTAACCTGGTGTATTTGGATTTGGTCCGAATGTATTTTGCCTGTTTGTGCATATGTATATACATACCGCACACGACCTTCAAATGTGACACAACTCAAAATTTGGTATTTTTGAAATTATGTGTTAAAAATGTACCCAGAGCTTTTATTTATCTTTAAACAAAAGCTGGATCAAATTTATGTTATAATTTGTTGAAAAACTTAAGGTAAAGTCTCCCTTGATCACATGATTGGCATGTGCTACGAAATAGTTTTTCGCATTTTCTGACGAACGTGTTATTTTGAGTTGTGTTGGTTTTTTTTTTTTTTTAATATGGTGTGCGGTATGAATTTATATACAATGCTTAGAAATGATATCGAACAATATTAAGGGTACTTATATATACGCGCAAGTTTCATATTTGGGCATTGGGCAACTTTGCGCCATGTGTTTCATGAGGACAATTTTATATTTTATGCAATTTCTGACATTTAGTTATTTGACTATAATTTATAAAGTTGAACAATTGAAACTCAAATTTGAGTAAATATTTAAGTCTTACCGCAGTTATTTTGAAAAAGCGTTGAGCACAAACCAAAATGAATGTAAACAAAATAGCTGATTGAGGGTTGCACAGCACACTGCGCAAAGTTGCGCTACAAAATTGCCGCACAAAGTTTCCCTTTTTGTGCAAATGCCCTGTGGTCAAATGAACTAGTTGTAAACTAGCTCACAACTAGTATGAACCGCATGCCTAACTAGTCAGCCAACTATCTTTTTTCCATGCAATCAACTGGTATTTTTAACATGGGGATGTCCTACGAGATGGCAATTGTCAGATTTCGGTAAGAAATATACCAGTATCATACTAGTTCAAAATAGACAGAAAAATACTAGTCTAATTATGGACCAAAACCACTAATTTGGGAGTAAAAAAATATAATGAATTCATGAATATGCAATATAAAACTTTTAAGTACACTTTAATATATAACACATTTTTATTTAGCAGCCTTAGATTTGCCAATAATTAGTGTTGAATTTTTTGAGTATTAATTAAAAGAAAAAATAAACACATAGATATTTAAAACTTTCGAATATAAATTTAAATTCATTTTTCATTAAGTGTTATTAAAAGGAAAAGGTTTCCGGTACAATAAATACTATATTTTTATCTTTTTTAATAATATGGAATATGCAAAAGAAAACATTTTAGTTAAAAATAAAATGAATTCTTTAGATAATTTTTGAGTGAACTAAAATAAAAATGAAAGTTTTCATTAAAATAAATTAAATTCATTAACTTTGCACATTTCAGTCTATTATTTTTTAAAATTTATAAAAATAATAATTATCGTTTAAAATTTGAGATTTGGATAAGAATAAAATAAGATAAGATGGATAAGAATAAAATAAATAATTAATTCAAGCAGTTATTAAATATTCTTAATTTTTGTCTATAGCTTGGCTTGTTCATTGATAATAGAAATTTATCAAATAATTATATTAATAGTGTAATTAAAAAGTCACAAATAATTGAAAATGATCAATAATAACAAAATAATGATGTAATTAAAACTAATGAATTAATTAACATTTTTTTTTAAGTAACTAATTCTAAATCATTAAAAAGGTGGTAATATCGGTATTTGATCATTAAACGGTTATCCAAAAAAAAAACATGCCTTAATTAATAATCATTATGAGTATTAATCATTATTTAACCGGACTGGTATAACTGAATACGTTTTCGATTTAAAGGTTATAATAAAAGTTATAATATTTTGTGTACTTTATTGTATTAAACTGTCGAAGTTAAATAAAACAGGGCCTGAATAAATCGTTTTGTACTTGGTACAAGTCTGGTCATTTTCGAACTAGTTCGGTTTCAGTCAGGAAATTCTAGATGTAAACTAGTATTTTTTCTGACTCATTTGCGAGGTTTTAAAATTGCACAGTTTCCCAGTTTGCGAGAGTTTTGCGCTTTTAAATGAGTACACTTATCAATAGCTTAATAATGTTGTACCAAAATTTTCCTTTTTTATTCCAGATAAATTAATAATCTCGGATCCCGTCGAGTTTCATGATCGCACTTTTCTGTCCCACTTAAAGCAGCTACCATGGTCTGAGCCACTTTTTACGAAGCGCGTTGAACAGACCATGATCACTGGAAAGCATATGACTTTCTGCAGGGTATCAAATGACTCCGTGTCGATAGTAAGTATTAAAAACATATATGTATGTAGGTATATTAGGTTCGGTTAATTTGTATGGGAGATTTTTTCAACTGTAAGCGTATAGCATAGGAGGATTCTACGTGTAATTCTCAGGGACCCTACCGATCGGTTTCGTGAAAAAAGTTATTTTGTCACTTTTATTTTTTTGGAAAAAAAATTACTGTTATAATTTCATTTTTATTTTTTCAGTCAAACAATAACGGTTAAAATCTGACTTATTTTTTCCGGCAAAAATAAAAGGCTTAGCTTAATAACAAAAAAGCCCTAATTCCAAATAAAGTAAAGTGGGTACCAATCGTCTTGACTTCTAGGTTTCAAATATATATAATTTGTTGATATTGGGGTTCTAACTCAGCAAACGAGACCAAAACTAGCTGCCGTTTGATGCCCGGGATAGCAAAATATTAAATGGCAATTCTTAATGAAAATCCGTGGAGTATTTCTTTGAATGTTTTGTATGTAATTAAATATAATCAGGAATTGATTTAATAATTCTAGTTCTAGAGAAGTCAGCAGTATACTGGTTATTTAAAATCATTTAAAACACGTAGCCTATGTGACATAGGACATATGAAAAGCTCAGCATCAGCATCGACATCTTCAATTTGCAATTCCAGCGGACCGAATTAAAACAGTTTTAATTAAAACACAAATTAGGAAATATATCATTTGTGTATAATATATCTTATAAATGAGATAATTTTTTTAATGATTTTACTTTTCGGAGCTTTAACGATGTTTTTTCTGGGGTTGCTAATAAGGGGTCTGAAGTCAGTTTTTCGAAACTCAAAATGGCGGATCCAAAATGGCGGTCCTTTTTTTAAATGATTGGATTTGTTCTAAACCCGGCACTCGAGAGTTTTTGGGGTCGCTGATTACGAATCTGAAGTAAATTTTTTTAAATTCAAAATGGCGGATCCAATATGGCGATCAAATTAAAAAAAAAAACTAAAATTAAAACGTCGATAGTGAACGTTTTAAACATTGTCAAGGGTTAAAACACGTTTCCAGTGGGTTTCTGGGGTTGCTGATTACGAATCTGATGTCAGATTTTCAAAATTCAAAATGGCGGTTAAGAGTTTCAAACAAACCCAATCATTTTTTTAAGTTGGTCGCCATTTTGGATCCACCATTTTGAATTTTTAAAATCAGATTCGTAATCAGCAACCCCAGAAACCCACTCGAAACATGTTTTAACCCTTGACAATGTTTAAAACGTTCAGTATCAACGTTTTAATTTTAGTACTTTTTTTTAGTTTGATTGATAGGGATTGGCATTGGTTGAATGTCAACTGTTTCATACTCAATTAATACTGCTGCTTTGTATGACTGAGCAGCGGCGTTGGCTTAGTAGTATCGATACCTAAACGAAATTAGAGGTTGACTGAACACCAGCGCATAGCGTGCTGTCTTGCAAATACAGCCACCACAAGTGAACGATACTTATAACCAGTGTTGCCAAACATGGGCTTTTCCTTCCAAAACTGGTAGGTTTTTTCCCATTTGGTATGTTGGTAGGCTTGATTGGATTTGGGTAGGTTTCGGGACTACGAGTAATAGTTATTTGAGAAAAATATGAAATATGTATCTCCAAACATTTTAGCAATTTTTTTTTACATGAATATTTCACCGGTGCGTTCGTATAACGGCGGCCGCAAACATGATTCCTCAGTACAAACGTATACCCTTATTATTGCCAATATACAATACGAACATCCATATATACTTTATGGCGTACTTGGACCAAGATTCCAGGAAAGTCTGCCAATGGGCTTGTACCTAACCATATTTTGGGCGGAGGTCTTCGCAATCGAAGTCTGTGCTCGCGAATTTTATCGTAGAAGCGAATGAGGCCAAAATAAATATTATGTATACATCGGCGTAGCCAGAATGAAATTTAAGGGGGGCCTCGACCCTATTAAGCTGGCATTTCAGGGTACTATTTTATATATATATAAGGAAAATTTGAAAGTTAGAGGGGGCTCGAGCACCCCCTGCTCCTACCTGGCTACGCCCATGTATGTACATATATGTAAAATATTCAGGCAGCGTTAGAAGCCTTAGGGTCTTTTAAAACGGCACACTGTGTTCTGTTTTGGGAAAAAATTGACAAAATAGCGACACAAACTAAACGGCATTATAAAGCCCGAATACTGGTGAATACGGGAAAATTATTCAGATTCTTCAAAAACAGTTTCCCGACCTTGAACTCCAAGGTGAAAGTTCAACTAAAAAAAATTTATATTTAAAAGCAAATATCTAGCGATCGAAAATTAATAGAGACCTAAATGAA